GCTGGCTTTTAAAACTTCTTTTAACCAAAGGCAAGTTGCACAGTGCACCAGGAATTTAACCCAGTAACCATTCGGCGATGTTTACATTGTACCGGATCATTTTGCGTCCGACGCAAAAACCATACCGGATAGGGCTTCTGTTTAATTTCTACAACGAACCGGTGGTGTGGCGGTTCGCTCTTTGACGTGGTGCGCGGGGTATCGGATTGGTTTTTGCAAAGCTCTTGTTCTAATGTAAACACCAAATCAGAGCAATTTTCGGTTGGGCAAATATCATAATTATGCGGTTCCAAAAACATGGACACTGTTTTCTTTGCCTTTCGGTTTCGTTTTAGAAAAGATGTCAATATATCATATATATTTCAAAACGGCGTCGTATCTTTATATGCGATATAGAGATTTTCCTTGATTTACATAAACTTTAACATTGATTTTCTCGACTTACACAACGTATTTTTTGAAAATTACTTCGCCAATGAACTTACTAGATCGCGGATCTTTTTAAAGCAATTTACAACATTCGCATGTAGTGCGTGTTTCATCAGACCTAAAGATACTCGGCTTCTCCTCGTTAATCTTTAGGGACCGTTCATTATTTATACCCGGGGTTGGTACCGAAGAGAAGCGAAAAACACTGTAAATTTTTTAGTTACCCAACCTCAACAATGCACGGTCAAAATAATGTTTACCCAACTCATGTGTTACTGTACTTCATAATAATTAAACACACAAAATTATGATGACAGAAATGAAGTTGCCTAAATTCTACACATGGGCGTACCGGAAGGAAAAATTTAGGGGGGCGGAAAGAAATTCGCCCGACTTTTTCGGATTTTACCAGACTAAAAATTTTTTTCCGGAATTTATTTTGGCGACCCCCCCCGTCGCCAAAAAAATTCGGTCAGTGTACCATTTTAGGGGTCAAAAATTTTTTCCGGACATACCAAAATTTTCCGGAACCTAACAAAAATTTTGGAAAAATCACGAAATTGACCACAAAATTTGTAGAATTTGTCTCAATTCTTTTTTTAATACACCAAAGTTGCCCGACTGTTCAGCAAATATTGCCCGACTGCCCATGAATTTCTACAAGCTCACCCAAACTCACTGAGTGTGCCAAAGTGATCACGTTTCTGCTGATCAATGATTGACACTTTCCTCAATCACTGCATGATGGTCTATTTTGGTACAGAATGTATTGTACACAATCATTTTTCTTCATATTTTCCAATGCATGGTAGTTTTGGTTTTATTTTATTTTATAGCTGACAAACAGCCATAAATTTTTTTACCCAACCCATGAGCTAGTCAAAAACGTGATTACCCAACCCATATCTCTTCTCTACTTAAATATATTTTACCTAGAATATGTTTCCACACAAGACCATTTTCTCATCATTGTATGTACTAGCTTTTTGCAATATGGTATGAAAAGTGCAAAAAGGCTATAAGCGTACAGTTTTAAAACAATTTTTTTAGAGTGAAATCGTATCCCAAACCTAGCATGCACATTGGTTGACCACCAGGCTACTCCAACCTTACGACGTCTTCATTCTTGTGAATCCGATGGAGGCAATACGTTCACTATAGTATTTATCACTTTAAAGGATACGCTGGAATATTGCCTCGTCTTTGGCTGCATCTGAACTGTGAACAAGACTATTTGTCGAGAAATCAGCTATGAAGACTGGTTGTCGGCATCGGCTGGGCATGTTGGTCAATATGATCTCACAATATTCTTCAGTTTACTAAGTCTTCAATGTATTTTCCTCACATTTTGCAAAACCTCAGGATTTGAGGAATATAACACAGCCTGAAAAAAGGATTATGGAAAAATAATAAACTCAACCATATTTCATGACCATGATATTTCTGCTAATTAAGCTACTCCATCTCAGTTGTGTTCAACTGATTAACCCTTAAGCGCCGGCACTCTCCCCCTGACAAGTGAAATCATCTGGTGTTAGACAGACTGCAGGGATGGATCCAGCATGATCTGGTGGGGGGTGCTCTGACAGCTCTGGTGCTGAGTTCTGTCGGTCATGCGTGCCACCCCCTCATCAACTTGCTTCACTACTGCAAAGTCTTGCTTGAATACTGTATTTGAATTGTAATTGTTGTTCACAATTCGCTTATCATCATGTTATTACTCAAATTACTGTCAGTATCTCATTTATTCTCTAATACGTTTTTGCTTTATCATGAAAAATAGCCCCCCCCCGGCCAGTGCTAGGGGTTGAACCCCCCACAGTAAATCCATCCCTGCAGACAGAGTAAAATCATCTGGCATTAGACAGAGTAAAATAATAAAGTAAGGCACAATGCCACTCAATGGGTTAACTAGACACATGGAACCCATCCCATTGTCTTATTGAAAGCATACAGTATTATTGAATGTACAAAGTATTTATATAGGCTCAGCGTTGAATAACGGGCGCACTTCCTGCCTGTTGCGGGCTCATGGTGTGCCCGTTATTCAACACTGAGCTATATAAATGCTTTGTACATTCAATAATATGCTTTCAATAAGACAATGCGATGGGCTCCCTGTGGATAGGCTTGCTAACTCATTAAGTGCCAGCACTCACCCCTTGAAGAGTAAAATTGTCTGGCATTAGACACTATACAAAAACAACAAAGTAGGATGCATATATATCACCCAGTTAACCCATTGAGTCAGTGGTAGCACTCTCCCCCTGATGAGTAAAATCATCTGGCATTAGACAACTGGTATAAAAAGTAGGTCGCATCCAGGCACATTGCCAATTAAAAGGTTTTATAATTAAACACATTTGAACAAAGTGAATTGAACAATATTATGATATAAGATTGTTTGGATAATTATCCAGACCGTGTAATTCAAATAATTGCTGCGGAGCGAGCAAGCCTGAAGCGAGCGAGCGTAGCAGCAGCCTAATATATGCAGAGAGGGGGTTTTGAACTAAATTTTATTTAGCGCATGAAATTGTGGTCGTGCGCGCTTTCTATGCGCAGAACACAAATTTTAAACTCGCTCTTGTCTTCGAATTTTTATCAAATTTCTAAATTTCAGGCTGCGAGCAGGCTACTGTCAGTTCTATATTTTTATAATTTTTTGTTTTCTTAGTGTATAAATCTGTGTTTATAGTCTATGTAATGTGGTAAATGCACCTAGCAATAAACAGACTTGCATGAAATCTGATCTTAGTTTACCTGTATGTCAATGAGACGCACATATTAAATATCTGTCACCTCTGATTGCCCTTTAACCCCTGGTCTTTGCTACTTCAATATATATTGCTACTTCTCAGTTCCATTCACGGCTCACTAGTCGCTGCGAGTAATCACTGTGCTTGATATAATTTGTGCTGTTTACTGTAGTTCTACTTGCTTTTAATGCCTGCAGCAATCCCTACCTTGCAGGTGCCCTAGTTACTAATAATATCATGTATGTGAGATTATTGAATGAGATAATGAATTAAATTGGTTAATAATTTATTCTTTACAAGTGTATAAAATACAGAGACGGATTTTCACATTTTCATTCGGGGGGTGGATAAATATCTGGGGGTGCTGCTGCTTGCTTTGGCCGGGGCGTGGTGGCAACACCCAGAAAGGCCAAGGAAAAAGTTTAACAAAATTTGTTTTCTAGGCCTGCATGGCAAGATCTGAGATCATAATATTGGTAATTTTACAAATTTAGTAGTAAGAATAATCAAATATGAAACTATCAAATCAAAATATATGTGCCTGTGCCTGATAAAATATGGCTTATATGCCCAGATTTGGAATTTTCTGTACATGTATATAGTGCTGTAGAATGTTGAACATTAGATAGTCTGTACGTACTTAGAAGGATTTGAATCTTAGAAGCATAGATGTTACCATGTTGATAAACTAAGGGAGGAGACTTTTTACGTTGAATTTTGGTTATGTCGAATGTAATTCAAACAATAGATAATGAAGCTTATTTAATTAATGAGGTTTAATTTATCAGCCCATTATCTATGGTCTTAATTGCATTCAATGCGACCAAAATTGGCATATAAAACAGGCCTGAGTTGTAAGTAGATGAACATTTACAGTCTTCATTTGAGGATGGATTTAAGATATAACATGTGTAATTCAATACAACTTTTGGTGTATATACCATACATCTTAATAAATAGTACAAAAACCAACTCGTCTCGGTTCCTGGGCAGAAAAGCAATTTATTAACAGCATTTACAAACTCATCAGACCATATTCTTTTGTATTTCGTCGGTTTTTAACTCCCCCGTAATAACCTTCAGTCTAAAAGCAGGCGGTGGTATTTGATTTCTCCGGGGGAAATACGGGGTTGAAGGTTATTACGGAAAAATAATAACCGGGTAGCAGGTTATTACGGAAAAATAATAACCGGGTAGCAGGTTATTACGGAAAAATAATAACCGGGTAGCAGGTTATTACGGAAAAATAATAACCTGCTAGTCTGCTACCAGGTTATTATTTTTCCGTAATAACCTGCTACCAGGTTATTATTTTTCCGTAATAACCTGCTACCCGGTTATTACGAAAAAATAATAACCAGTTACCTGGTTTTACATTTTCAATTCAAGACCTGGCATGAGTCTTGAATTCGGGACTTGAATTTGCAGGAAAACTCAAGACCCACATCTCCTTTTCGACTAGAAAACGTTGCACGTCTCTAAGTCGAGAAAGAGACAACAGCCGTGTACCTCAGAGCCCGTCAAAACTCTACCATTAGGTAAGAGTATCTATCATTCGGCGCACGAGGACTAGCTGGATCAACCATCAAACATGCTTGTGCAGGGAATTTATACAGTAATATCTGCTCTTTTGCTTGTGGGACGTGAAATGATATACTGCGCATGCTTAACCACATTTTAAAGCGTGTTAATGCGCATGTTACACCTAGTTATTTCGTCCCACAACTGCAGCGACCTCTCATTGAATTAATATAGCTTGAATTTTTAATGAAGAAAACCTCCAAAATTCAAAAGAATATGGTCTGATGAGTATATAAACAAGTTAAAAGCCGCGGGTATCGGTTTTTATTAAACTGTAAAGACCTCGGGCCTTCGGCCCTCGGTCTTCACAGTTTAATAAAAACCTCTCCCTTGGCTTTTAACCTATATATAAAATGCAAAAAAAAACTGTCAAAAACTTGGGTAGATAGGGAGAGCACTGTCACTCAATGTGTTAATCAGACTGCTCGACATGTGTGTTAGTTAACCTATTATGCACTAGCTACTCGATTGAAACCCTGCCCCCCCCCAACCCAGGTTTTTACCGAGCATCACCTTTTTTCGATACCCGGGGTTTAACACTGATATAAAAGCGAGTATAATAGCCAGGATTTAACACCGTATGAAAAAGGCTGGGTAGAATGGCCAGGATTTAATGCACACTGAACCTAAACACGTTTCTAAAGCCTTGTCATTAGAAAACCTAGCGAATTTAGACATGCAAACGCCGTTAGTTGTCAAAATTGGGTTAATATTGCCTCAAATGACAGTAATTATTCGTGAAATTAATGTGGGAAATTATATAAGTACAAATAAGGTACTTTGTCTAGGGTCGGGGTTTCAATTGACTAGTGCATTAAGATGCATAAATGTGCCCTATTGTTCTCCATACCGTAAACCTCCGACTATAAGCCCTGGGCTTATATTATTTTGTAAGTGATTTTTGATGGGCTTATACAAGGGGGGGAGGGGGGGGGGCTTATACATGGACGATTTTTTGTGTTAGTGTTAGGGATGAGCCGATTAATCGGTAAATAATCGGCAAAGCCGATTAATCGGCCGTTTTTTAATTAAATAATCGGCCGATTATTGCTTGATAATCGGCCATAAGACTTTTTCTGCAGCTGCCAAGCACATGCTAAAACACTGAATACAAGCGAATAGATTTTCACATTTTGTTGCAAAACCTGTGTCTTTAAATGTCTCAAGCGAAGTGAAGCTTCGAACATTTCCACTGGAAAACGCAGAAGATTAGCTCTGCAAAGCTGACAATATCCTGTTTTTACACCATAATCTGCCAAAACTAAACTTTGACTATTGACATGCAAGATTGAAGCTGTTTTCAATTGTACATAATGTGTACTGTAAACAATAAAACCGCATTTACAACTTCATTGTTGGTCATCTTGTGATTTTTCGCTTGCTTTTTAAAACAATCGGCGTGTACCGATTAATCGGCCGATTAGTTACGATAATCAGCTTATAAATAATAGGCCTCAGTAATCGGCAATTTTCCTTATCGGCTCATCCCTAGTTAGTGTAATAGTAATAAACAAGTATAGTAATAAACAAGTGTTAAACAAGCATAGTAATAGTGATAAATAGTGGTAATAGTGATAAACAATACTGATAAACAAATGGGCTTATATTTGGGTGGGCTTATATTTGGTGGGGGTGGCTTATATTTAGAATGAGGTGAGCGTTAGTACATGTAGTGGGCTTATACACAGGGGGGGGGCTTATATTCGGGCAAGGGGGGCTTATATTCAGAGGTTTATGGTAGAAGACATAGCCAGAGATGGGCCCCGGCCCCCAGGCAAAATTGTGGCGCCCCCTTGTGAAGATACAAGAAAAGTACATTATATTTTTATTTCTTGCTATGTAAATTTATGTCTTGTTATGTTTCAAATATGTAATATTACTGTAAATGATAATTGGAAATACCAAACATGATATTGAAAATACTTTCTTTATAAAATTAATTTTAAAACAAATGTAAAATGGTGTTCCAAAGTCGTATGTTCTATCAAAGAAACTTATCTATAGGCATGTGATTTTATACCTGTAGTTGTGAGCTGGGTAACAACGAGATGTATAAAACAACGTTATCCAAAATTGTTTACTCACTCTACCCTATGCTCTACCGAAGTATAGCTTCGAGAGAAGAGCTTTAAAGATGCTGTGAAGTCCGTTCTGCGCATCGGTTCCGCTCATAACAAAGGGGAAACCCGCAGTCCGCAGATATAAACATTGCCCAAATTTTGCATCTTTCGAACTTTTTCGAATTGAAACGTAGAGTTTATATTCATTTACAGTACAAGCATAGCGAACCAGAAAAGTGTTAGATATTCAGTTAGTATATCATATTTTACAAATATAGCTGTTCAAAATGTAAACAAAACGTTTGTTTACATTTAATATTAGTAACATTTACGGACTTTACAGCATCTAATTACATGTAAACTATAAAAAAATAATACCGAAAAGTGAAAACCCTTTAAAAACTTACCTTTAAGACAGGTTGTTCTTTCATTCAAACGTTGTCTCTTTATCCATGGTCGAATTTCCAGTAGAATTTTTTATAAACCAGTACGATGTAGTGAAATTTCCGGCCGTCTTTGACAACAAATTTTAACATCACAATATAAAAGTCAATGATTGCACGTATTTTTCTCTTTACTACAGAATCGTTTTCCCTGTCGATTGAGTTATAATTTCCAAAACTAACCAGTCGTTAGAACGTAAAATAAGCTGGATTTTGTAAACAAAAATGCCCTTTGATGACACGAAGTAACTGGCGCCATCTTGTCTTCTCCAAACATGACAAATTTTCCCGCCAAAAACTCGGGTGACGTATGAAACTGACGTCACAAGTTAGACCCGCGAATTTTAGGGTGGGCGAAACGTAGGTCTGTTTTCAGGCTAGTTCAGAAATTACTTCATGTAACCAAGCTTGTCCTGCCTCGACGTAAATTCAAAAGTTCGTTCAAATGAGAAAATAACAATTTCAATAAAAGTTCGCCTGCCTCTGCTATCTAGCGATATTGGCGATAATCCATGAATCCTTTAATATCGTGTAGCTCATTATGCACCTATCAATGTTAATCCCCAGAGGGGGTCATATAGGTGGGGCATTTGATTTTTTGAGCAAATTTTCAAATCAAATGCCCCACCGCCGGGCAATAAATATTGGTCAAATACCCCACAATTTGGCAATAAATACTATATTAATAAAAGTCATTCGGTTCAAATTGCCCCAACTTGGGACCAAAATGCTATCAAAATCCCCAGGGTGGGGATGCAATTAGTGATCAAATACCCCACATATGCCCGACCTCCCTCCTCTGGGGGTTAACATTGATAGGTGCATTATGTATGCAGACTCGCATGGTTACGTCATTGTATTGTCACACACTGACACCCAATAAAGCGCTAGAAAGCAAAGTGAGGCGAACTTTTTGCGCATTTAAAATTTTTCTATTTGCTGGAGGTTTGCACCCCCTCTCCCCCCCCCGGCTTTGAACACAAATTCAGTTCGAACATGGGTGATCAAAACAGCTGGTCAGGAATATTCTTTTAAGAATTAAGATTATTGTTGAAACTGGGAATTGAGCTGGAACATATGGCTCAGTGGGAAATGAGATTGGTGCAAAAAGGCCGGGTTGGGAAATCAAATGTTATTTATAGGGATGGGGCAAACAAGCTAATAATTTTAGAGAGTTTGAACAAGACGACGAAGTACAAAGGCGAAGGCGTACTAGAAAATTTTGCCGTCTGCACATTATCTTGCGCATACGGGGTTGGACGTCACTGGTGGTTGCTAACGTGCCTTCCCATGTGTCGCTGTTTATAATACTGACCCTAATTCTTGCCCTGACCCAGAAAAAAAACTGCGAGACATGAAATTATATACCGTCTTTGTCCTTCTACCTTCGTTCGGAACGAAGTTCACAACAAATTTTGCCACAATATTCGTTGTGAACGAAGGCAGAAGAACGAAGACGGGATATGGATTCATGTCACGCTGTTTTGTCCTGATCAGGGTAAGGATTTGGGTCAGCATTCATAAACAGCTAGACATAAATCTCTAATCTGTCTTCACTGCCTGACCCTAAACTCAGAATGCGCAAGATAACGTGCAAGACAGGCAGGAATTGTCAATCATGTCGTCGTCGTCCGACTTCGTTCTCTTGCTCAAACTCTCTAATGGCCTTTTGAAGATACATACAACAAACTATGAGAATTTCATTTAAAACTTATCATCCCTCTATGAGGATTCGAACCTGCGACTCTCGGCCGATGGTTGCATTTTTTAACCTGTCCAAGTTACTCTACAGGGATAGACATATTCCACCAATTTTGAATTATTATAATATTAATTGGATAGCATATAGTAGAAAAATACAAACAAGACAAAACACTTAGAGATGAACACGGACACTAAATTAGAATACAAAGTGCAGGTTTTCTAATAGATGATTCCTCTTATTACGTTTTTGTAGCGCTTTGCATTGTGGTTATAGTGGTATCACTGATATTCAAGATGGCTTATTTTTTGTCCTGACCCGTGCAAGAACTTTTAAAAAAGCTAGGGTCAGGTGCACGATAGCCAACAACAAAACATTTCACGAAAACACTCAATATTTTCATTCGAGGCCGCTATCTTTATCAGTGATACCACTATAACCACAATGCAAAGCGCTACGAAAACGTAATAAGGGGAATCATTTATTACAATAGAAGTTATTTTGAAGAGGCCATGTTTGCATACTTTCGTCCTGGACAAAAACACTCAAACGCTCAGGCATACATACTCAATCCAGTGTCGTTTCAAGGTCAGTGTTCACACACAGTGATTTTAGACCATGACTGTTTATCATTGCGATGATTTTGTAAAAATTTCGCTGAGGTCCACGCTTGAAATGTCCCCGACCCAGTGCTTATAAGATACTGCGCGCGAGAGATCAAAGTCATATCAACAAATGCTATCACACCGCGATCTTGTACATGAGACGGGGGGCTGTAAGCCACTCCATGGGATTTTTCAACTATTTGACCATGGAGAAGTTTGAAGACGTTTTCGTCGAGATGTCTCCTCATCCGAAGCCGAATAAGCGAAGAGGAACCGTTGTCACCCATATCGGTGGCGACGTAAACATGGGATAAACCTGTGGTAGCTTTTAGAGCCACCACGACCTATTATGGATAAAATATACAGTATTTATAGGTGTGTTATAAGCAGTACTAGTCGAAATGCTCTGCACGTAACTTCTTATATACCGTAACTTATGTATATCATTGTAATATGTACACCTCTCTAATATGTATACCTCTCTAATACGGATACCTCTCTAATACGTATACGGTATACCTCTCTAATACGGACACCTCTCCAATATGGACACCCCTCAAATATGTGTACCTCTCTAATATGGACACGTTAATAATACCTACACCTCTTTAATAAGGACACCTCTCTAATACGGACACCTCTCTAATACGGACACCTCTCTAATACGGACACCTCTCTAATATGTATACCTCTCTAATACGGACACATCTCTAAGACGAACACCTCTCTAATACGGACACCTCTCTAATACGGACACCTTCTAATACGTATACTTCTCTAATATGGACACCTCTCTAATATCGACACCCCTCTAATATGTGGACCTCTCTAATATGGACACCTTAGTAATACCTACACCTCTCTAATACGGACACATCTCTAATACGTATACCTCTCTAATACGGACACTTCTCTAATACGTACACCTTAATAATACCTACACCTCCCTAATTCTAACACTTCTCTAATACGTACACCTCTCTAATACGTACACCTCTCTAATACGTACACCTCTCTAATACGGACACCTCTCTAATACGTACACCTTTCTAATACGTACACCTCTCTAATACGTACACCTCTCTAATACGTACACCTCTCTAATACGTACACCTCTCTAATACGTACACCTCTCTAATACGTACACCTCTCTAATACGTACACCTCTCTAATACGTATACCTCTCTAATACGTACACCTCTCTAATACGTATACCTCTCTAAGACATACACCTCTCTAATACGTACACTTCTCTAATACGTACACCTTTTTAATACATACACCTCTCTAATACGTACACCTCTCTAATACGTACACCTTTCTAATACATACACCTTTCTAATACGTACACCTCTCTAATACGTACACCTCTCTACTACGTACACCTCTCTAATACGTATACCTCTCTAAAGGATAATTTCCACCTAGGAAAATTATCCGTGGATTGGAACGGACAAGAAAATCCTTCTTTGTCTTGTGAGCTCTGGGTTGGAACTAATGACTTTAACACAAAGAAAAATATTCTTGTCCGTTCCAATCCACGGATAATTTTCCTGAGTGGAAATTAGCCTTTATACGAACACCTCTCTAATACGAACACCTCTCTAATACGGAACTTTTCGAAAACCTTGCGCACTGTATCTAGGAAATATGAAAATACGAATACAAACCTCGAGCATCAAATCAATACACTTTCGAAGTTGATCGATAGTTGAACTTAACATGATAAACTCACTACGCACATACACCGCAATATAGTTCTCAGCTAGAGACTCTTTCGTAAAACGCTCGACTTCGTTGATGACGGGCTGACCAGGTCTCAACGAATATGAAAGATCAATTGAGGAATACTTCATACTATCTTCACTGAACTTCAAACGATATGTAACACCATCTATTCCTCTCCATATGAATATATTAAGACACTTTTCATTTTTAACGATATCTTTTTCGAATATTCCCCAATCTTTTATAATATCTCCATTGACACAAAATTGTTTTCCAGGAGTTCGCTTCATAGCTCTGTCAAGAAATTCGCATTCCGTCCAACCTTTTTGTGTGGTGTTTTTTAAGATTGCCTTATAGTAATCTTCCTTCAAGTGAAAATTAGCTTTAGTGAATCCCATTGATGATTGTGAATTGTCAATGAAATGTACGCTTACATGATCAGGGCTGTTGGGTGGGCATTCCTTCAAGTACTCCGCCGTATCCACAAGTGTCGCGTAACCAGCGGCTGCTAGCAGGCCATCTAATTGCTTCACATCGTAATAAGTTTCCAAAAGGAACCAGGATTGGTCAGAACTAAGTTTTGTCTGTTTCACAAAAGGCTTAACCACGCTTCGCCCGGTTCTTCCAGCTTGCGCACAAAGGCTAAGAAACGCACGAGTGTTTTTCGTAAGTTGGTCATTGTATTGATAATGGACGTAGGCGTATTTCTTCGATGGATTTCCCTCTTTGGTTTTCGAAATGTCGATCATTTTTGGAAGAGCCAATTCAGTGTAATTCATAGCAACGCGTGGTTTCTTAGTTCGCCGGTCATGAGTGATACGTACTTGTAGATTTTGACCAGTGCTGCCTTTTATTTTGGCAAGCAAGGCTTGAAAATCCAGCCCTTCGAATTTGGTACGGTACTGACGTGCCGAAATTTGACTCGTCTGTTTGCTTTGATTCGTCCGTTTGTTTTGATTCGTCCGTTTGCTTTGCTTCGCACGTGGCAACAAAATTTGAAAAACGTTTTGCTTTTGAACAAGTTCGACGTGTTCTACGTTGGTTTGAAAAAACAGATACCATCCAGTGAGGAGAAAGGGAATTTCGATGAGGAGCAAGACGACAATCAAATAGAGAGAATAACGTTTCTTCCTATATAATCATAATCACAACCGTATAATCACTAATCATATCGTATCAATAATGTAATAATCATAATCACGACAATCATAATTATATTAATAATGCAATAATCTATAATCGTGATTATTTCATAACCACAATAATCGTTATCATAATCATCATTGTCTTAATCGTACTATGATCATAATTAAGATTACATCAACTATATGATCTTGATCGTATTATCATGATCACAATTATCATAATTTATCATTACCACAATCAATGTCATAAATCGCTATATAATAATAACGTGGTTTGCCATTTAAGTAGGTTCCCTACTGTTTTTTTCCAGTTAATTAAAATTAGTTTAAAGCCAAAAAACAGGTCATATTGAAGCACAGCGAACATATAGCAAATAGTTTATACGGCGTTTTTCTTTTACTTTCCTATATTTTTCGCATTCATTCAGGTATAGCTATATTGCGATTCAGAATGGTTTCATTGTCTTTTGACCTGGCCTGTGCCACGGCAAAGCATTCGAGGTAAATATGTTGTTCGTCTTCGTCTTCGTCTTAGGTTTTTACTTTCGTAACCAAGAAATTGCTACTGTTGCAGTTGAAATTTGTGATGCGTATTTTACTGTCTATCATGTTTGATATTTTCCCTGAAAATGACCAACAATATTTTATAGATATTTCATCCTAGAGTGGCATGGTTGTATTCTTATGTTTTTTTGACTAAAATACTCTGCTGAATTATTGCAAACACTTTATCCCGCCTTTTTGTGATCCATGGTTATCCAGTTCCAATTCAAATGCATGCAGTTTGACCTGTGCAGTAGCCGTCTTACTATAGTAATTAGAGACCTTACGATTTTAGGACTGCAATGGCTACCAATACAATAATAGATCATTGAAAAGAATTGAGTAATTACAATATATGAATAATTTAGACATTGTCCTCGCTCTGTTTACGACGCTAAATCACAGAGTTTCACGTCTTGATACAACGGCTGCATTCCAAGCCACAACAAGTGCAACTTCAAACCCATGTCTTTAACTTCTAAAACTGTATTAAATTCATACAATTGATAATATACGACGAACTATCTTTACTACCATTTATTTGAAGGAGTTTGTTTTGGCCGTCACCGTCGCGTTGCCGTCCTAAAATCGTAAGGTCTCTACAGACCATGAAAGCCCTCTTACGTTACCTCACTGTCGAACAATGAGTTTGACACTCATGCATGTATCCCATATTGCCGATTGCGTACCGTATACCCAATTTAGTAGGATTGAAAATTGAGTGACGTAAGCACTTGTGGAGTCAATACACCCTTCCACGACAACAATCCACGACAACAACAACAGCAACAACAACAGCAACAACAGCAGCAACAACAACAGCGGCAACAACAACAACGGCAACAACAACAACGGCAGCAACAACAACGGCAGCAACAACAACGGCAGCAACAACAACGGCAACAACAACAACAACAACAACAACAACAACAACGACAACAACGACAACGACAACAAAAACCACGACAACAACAACAACAACAACAACAACAACAACAACAACAAACAGAAAGATTTCTTTAAGTACTTACATGGTGTGATTAGCAGTACGTTGTCTTCAACAAGAACAAATATTTTCATAATTCATATCAAATTTTCATTTTCAACCTGAAAATGTACAATATTTCACATAGTAAAAAGATTAAGAGACGGATGCGCCCCCCCCCCCAGAAAAAAAGATATTGAACTTGAAAATTTGAAGAAAAAAAACGAACAAGAAAATTGAGCAATGCAATTTTTTTATATTTGCGCACAAAATAAAAACGAATCTTTCAAGAGCAGTGTTCCAAATTAATGTTCTGGACAAAAAAGATCGAGCGCTAGCAGCATTAAGCCGGACGGACAAGTCTAGTGATGCACGAGTAAAGCATCGACAGAAAGCCTATTAATCATAGATTCCAAAATTACAATTTTCAGACCGGCCCAAATTCAAGTCTCTGCTACAGGAGCCTTGACATTCAATAGAACATAAGGTTTGAAACGGCATAATATTAACTTTCACGTCTTTTTCGATTACACAGCTGAAAAAACTTGCTTTTTATGTCCACGGACTGTCTAGTTATGCAAGAATGAGGCATCGACAGAAAGTCTATATTGACCGTAGATTCCAAAAATACAATTTTCAGACCGTGGTAAATTCAAGTTTTTGCTACAAGGCGCCTCGGAATTCAATAGAACATAAGATTCGAAAGCGCATAATATTAACTTTCACGTCTTTTTCGATTACACAGCTGGAAAAACCTGCTTTTTACCTCCACGGACAAGTCTAGTGATGCACGACAGCACGAGTAAGGCATCGACAGGAAGCCTATTGATCATAGATTCCAAAAATACATTAATTGCTATACGCGTGTGAACCTCTTAGACTTAAGGCCATGTTACACGGTGAAATTTTTCTTGCAACTTGCAATGAAATTCTACTCTTGAGAGATGTTAATTAGTGAAATCAGTGAAGAATTTTCGATATGTTGAGAAAACATAAAGGAGAAAACATCAAAACCTTTAGAAAACATCAGCGGAGTGTAATGAATACTCGTATTTGGCAATTTTACATCTCTCAAGAGTAGAATTGCATTGCAAGTTGCAAGAAAAACTGCACCGTGTAACATGGCCTTTAGGTTTATAAGTAAAACGGGGATTATTTACCAGTAAATTCCCTGCGGATACCGCTTTTAATTAACAACAAAAGGGTGATTTCTAAAGGGTCTTTTTTTAGACACCCTGTGCAGTACAGGCTCTATTTTTAGACACCTCAACAGCATAGAATGAATACTAATGAGTAATGGTTCGTGTGACTTTTCTTTACACTTTGATAGTATTTTGAGCCCAAAATATATTATTTAGAAAGTTTTACAGCTCGAATCGAGGCCGCTTTTGCATATTTTAGATGTTTTCAAAATAAGCCGAACGAATCGCCAGCGGGTTATTATGCCACGTTGCCTCTGAATACGTATAAACTGGAACACTTATCAAAATAACCCGTGGGCGATTCGTTCCGCAAATGATCATGAGATCATTTCAAAACAACTTGAGAGTTAAAAAAAGTCAGACAAAAAGTGATCATCAAAACATTCAACAATGGATCCGGGCCGAACTACGTTTCACTAGCTTCGCAAGATGCGCTACCGGCAAGCTAGTTCGCTGAATACAATCGAAAAAAGCTTTTATGACTTTTATATTAAGGCCGATTTAGGTTATACACAACGTTTGCCTAAAACTGTCGCTTGCAACCTGTTTACAACTGAATTGTATATGCTGTGTAAATTACATACAACTCGCCTTAGCCCCTAGACTTAGTTGTCGTAATCAGTATGCTTGATTTACACAGTACAACTCAAGTTGTAAGCAGGTTGCATAGGCAAAAGTCGGTGTAGTCTATAAATCGACCTTTATATTGGATAAGAAATGTTAGCAGTTTACCATAAAAAGCCAGCAACCGGCTTCGAATAACGTAATTGAATTGACCAAAACACTTTTCAATTTTACTTTGTTTGACACGCGACAGAGTAAAGTCAAAGAAAACGCAACCTAACTTGTAGAATTTGTTACTTAATTATTAAACATTACTATTAATAAAACGTCTATGCCTATGGCGTTCACATTTCACTAAATCAATGCCGGTTCAATAATAAGTTAAAAGTCTTTATTGTTTATATATCATTAATTATATCGTCTATATATGACTATATATATGCTTTTAAAACACTTTAATACACTCACCTTAATTCGTACAAGTTCTTACGAAATCCACATTATGTCGAAGACGTGGCGGAGCCTACTGGCATGCAATAATGACACAGCATGATGTGTGTCCTGTTTTGCGGCCAATAGAATAATTAAAGCTATTTGACTTTGATAATAAGCATTTATTATACAATTACTTTATGGTTTCCGTGTTTGGATGGCCTGATCCAAACACGCGGGAATGTTGCGTTTTCTTAACTCGAGCAACATTCCCAAGTGTTTGGATCAGTCCATCCAAACACGGAAACCATAAAGTAATTGTTTTATAAAATAACAACAACACGGTAGTCTTCCGTGTTTGGATGGCCTGATCCAAACACGGCTTTCGACCGCGTTATATACATGTTATTTTATAAACTTATTTACTGAGACCGAGGGAAACAGTGTGTTTTATTGGCCCAAGACCGTCGTTAGTAAAATCTTTGAGCGGTTCTTTTTTCAACCAATTGTACGAATTTTTGAATGAGAACTCCTTGCTTTCTAAAGCGGCTTAGCAAAATTTCACTCGTGACCGGTGTTGGCGTAAGCAAGTTTCCCCAGTGTGCCACACCGAATATTCAGAATATTCAACGTGTTGAATAGTTTCAGTCACGAATGAACATTTCAGTCCTACAAGTGTGCGCGCTCGAAAAGCTATCACCCGTTTCAATGTATAGATCATGTACATAAATCATGTGACTTCAATTATTTAGATTCTTGCACTTCACTTGGTGGAATTAATATTAGAATGTTAAGGTTTGTAATCCAAGTGAGTAATATATATACATTTTAAGACCTGACCAGGAACGAGTCGTTCTTGGTTAGGTCTTAAAATGTATATATACTCACTTGGATTACAAACCCTAACATTCTAATATAAATCATGAGGTACGTTGTCGCCATGTACAAAAGACGACATGTACGAACAACTCAATGAAATACCCTGTGCAGTACAAGCAGCATTAAAATGAAGTTATAATTGATCTCTTTTATAAATAAGACATGCTTTAGTCGCGTATCACTCAAAGCAGTTGAGAACACTATCAAATCACTTATAATTATCGTCAATATTTTATATTATATCTGATAAAACACTCCTACTCGTGTTTTAAAGAGTTACGTGCAACCATGCATTACTATATCATTAGTTATTCGCATAATAAATCGTATAATGATTTGCTGTTTTTTGTATATCTAAGTGTGCTTTTGCAACGTTTTTACTCGTTGATTTTGCCCAACCTGGCGTTCAAATAGCATATAATAAGTATATGCCAATATTTATAGCGCGGTTAATTAACCCTTCAAAATAACAGTGCAGTGTGATTGGACGGATAGAAATTTTAAACAGATAAAAATTAGGTGCAAAGACTGGCACTAGCTTCAAATCGCCTTTTTTAACAGGTTGCAGCTCAGGAAATATTTGGAAAATCAAAAAACTGCTTTAATGTTCTACATAGAACTAATTTTTTTGTGAAGTACTTATGAATTTTGAGATTTCGAGCCGTAATAAGAATTTATAATAAAATGTCAGAAATTCCAAATTTTTGGCTATTAGCGTTAATTTCACAGATGCGTCCATATCTGAAATTCATACTTGTGTCAAAGTCTATACATCCTTTCAATATGGTGCTTTCTTCACAAAACGCACAATACTTTCGCTTATCCGCCCCACTATAACAACTTGTGCGTTTTTACCTGTGTACTTTGGAAGCAGCCAGAACAGTTCCGAACAGTCATGTGATCGTGTTCTGTTCCATTCCATTAGTGTTCCCAAAATCTGGAGTACTCCGAACAGAGTCCTTACAAGCTGCACGGCCTAAAAAGCATCAATTACGAACATGATTTGGGAGCATCGACTTCATTCTCGAATTCATTTTCAATTTCGGCATTTTCCTCTTGAATTTCAGCACAAGAGTCTTCGATGTTAGCCAGTATCGTTTCAATCAGTCAGTGTTCAGGGCCGTAGCTAGACACGATAATTGGGGGGGGGGGGGTGTATATTCATATATTCATGTTTACATACCGTAAAAACAATCGATTTCAAAAGAAATCCGTGGGGCAGAACACGAATATATGTATATACCCCCCCCCATGGACCTTTCACCTTTTGACTAAAATTTAGATCTCAACAAGTTTAGACAAAAATTTCATCACAGCTTGAAAAAGCATCACAAAATTAGTAATATTCCAAAGTTTCGTTTCGAAATGTTGTAAAATGTGGATAATATAGCCTTGCGAAGTTTGCAATTTTCAGTCATATTGTATTACAAACGTTACAAAAATACCCTTT